GCAGAGGGAGACAGAGAGAAAAAAGGGGGGTGGGGTGGGGGAGAGCAAGAGAGAGCGAGGCAGAGAGTGGAGATAAGTAGAAGGATAAAAAAAAAAAAACACAAGACAGCCTAATTATTATGGGTTTTTTTTTTCGTGAGCACGTCTGTTCACAAAAACTACAACAACAGAGTCAACGATTGTGACAACAACAACAGAAGAAACGTCATGGGCACCACGACTGCAACAACAGAAAAGTGAACCCGTCCGCTGCACACATACATAATATTATGGTAATAGCACCACCATCACAACTACAACAACAACAATTATAACAACAACAGCAACAACAACAACAACAACAACAACAACAATAGCAACAAAAACAACAGCAACAACAACAACAACAACAACAACAACAACAACAACGGCAACAACAACAACAGCAACATAAGAACAACAAAATATCTTAAAAACATTAACAAAAGTAAATACAGCAACAACAACAACAACAAAGTTTAAGAAAACAACACCAGTACAACAACAGCAACAACAGCTACTACAACAGCAACATCATGAACAACAACAACAATTTCAGCAACAAAAAACAACATCATCATGAACAACAACAGCAACAGCAACAACAACAACTACAACAGCAACAATATGAACAACAACAACATCAACAACAACAGCAACAGCAACAGCAAAAACAACAACAACAGCAACAGCAATTGAATCAACTGCGCCATTTTTTTTCTACATTTCAGCAGGACAGACCAGATACCCGATATGCTTCCAAAAGAAGGGCGGTGCTCACACAAGCGCGCGTTTTTCATATTCTCGGGAGCGGTGTGCGTCTTCACCTGGCTATTGTTTAGTGGTACGTCTGTTGGATAAACCAGCCCCCCTCTCTCTCTCTCTCTCTCTCTCTCTCTCTCTCTCTCTCTCTCTCTCTCTCTCTCTCTCTCTCTCACACACACACACACACAAACACACACACACACTCACTCTCTCTCTCACACACACACTCTCTCTCTCTCTTTCAAACACTCTCTGTCTGTCTGTCTGTCTGTCTGTCTGTCTCTCTCTCTCTCTCTCTTTCTGGCTCTCTCTCTCCTTCTATCTGCTCTCTCTCTCTCTCTGTCTATCTCTCTCTGGCTCTCTCTCTCTCTGTCTCTCTCTCTGTCTCTCCCTGTCTCTCTCTCTATTGCTCTCTTTCTTCTATCTCCGGCTGTCACCCCCCCTTCTCTCTCTCTGTCGCTCTCTGTCTCTCTCCCTCTCTCTCGCTTTCTCTCTCTTACGTATATGTTATGTCTCTCCCTTTGTAAGCCTGTGTGTCTGTCTGTCTCTATCTGTCTCTATCTGTCTCTATTTGTCTTTATCTGTCTCTATCTGTCTCCCTCTATCTGTTTTTCTTTTCTTTTCTTTCTTTTTAAAAATGTTCTTTGTTTTTCGATAATTAAATGTTTTAGAGAGCTCGCAACTGCATATATGAGCACGCGGGACGCATTAAGCATTTTACGGTTTGGTAGGAATTAATTTAGAATTTTGTCCGGATGGCGGCCGAAACTTAATTATTCTTATCAATCCTCTTTCTGTTGTGGTTATTATTCTTGCCTTTCGATACGACGGTACAACGTCTATGAAATAATATCATCTGAAAAGATACGTTTGTGAAGTTTATCATAACTTCAAAATCTTCCAGTCCAACTCGAAGAGAATTGGTCGCTTTTAAGCACTAGGGGGCTATCCTGAAAAAATGCTGATTTGAGGAAATCGAAGGTAAAATGTTTGGACCCTCATTCAGTTTCTTTAAAAGACAAGGAGAGTTTTCATTATAATCAACAAACACACACACCAATGAAACCAAACTTCTCCTATAGGTAGGGCAATGCCCACTTTAAAAAAAATGTAGGTCCCGATTTCTGTAAACGTTTAAAATCTGGGTTAGCCCGCTTGTCCTTAAAAGCGAGCAATTAACAGTTAATTATTTTTTTTTAATCAACATTTTTCTATTAAATTAAAAAGACAATGTATAGCTTAGTGTGCATTTTTCTATTAAATGAAAAAGACAATGTATAGCTTAGTGTGAGTGAGGCTTGGACTGGGGCGACGAGCAAAAGCCTGTCTATTTTTGTTTTTTTAATTGCAGGTGTTTTGAAACCCTGTTTCGATAATTTAGGAGGCAGATTACTAACTCGTGTCTGCCAGGACCCATTCGGGCAGGGAGGGATACAATACATCAGTAGAAAAACCGAAAAACTCGATAAAAAATGTTTCCCCTCATCGGAAATCGAACTCGAGTCTCCTGCGTGCAGAGCCAACAATAGCGTATATTGTGATATTAAGATTTTCCATGTATTTTGCTGTATTAATAAGATAAGATAAGATAAGATAAGATAAGATAAGATAAGATAAGATAAGATAAGAT